AAGCTGTTATTATGAAATGCAATAAAATCTAAGTATCAAAACTAGTAACAATTAATAAAAAAATGACAAATAGACTACTTACATTAAATACTAAAATTTCACTATCAAGATCTTGGTATAATCTAATCCCTTTTTAATATGGTCATGACTTTTTTTTCTTTTTACCTTTTTTTGAACTATCAGCCTTGATAACTTATACACAATAACAATTAAGACTATAGTCAAATACACAATATACAATAACAACATAATACGTGACACTAATCCAAAATAATTTTACCTCCATAGGATTTCTATTATCAACATTCTCAGCATTTAAGTACATTGTTTTTCTTTTTTCTAAGTCCTAAGCTATTAACAGTGGCCTATAACCCATTTAAATAAATTAATATAATAACAATAACTAAGCATTAAAACTTTAAATAATAAAAATCACATATCCCAAATAATTTTACCTCGTTAAAATTTCCTTTTATCAACATTCTCAATATTAATGGGTTTTATTCTCCTTTTTTTATGCTTTGAACTCTTAATAGTGACTTATAACAAGTAAAAACAATTAATAAAATAACAAAACTCATCATAAAATATACAATAAAATACGTGTCATAAAATATATATAATAGATTTATAAATTTTACTATTTTAAGTTAACTTAACTTATTGTGACCCTTTTCATGATAATAATCACATGTTGTCATCCTCTTTATCCTTGATATGTTGGTCCCACTCTTTTGTTCAAGTAATTACTTTTTTTTTTTAACGAGTCTACCTGGCATATTTTTTACAAAAAAAAGCATAATTAGTCCATAGATACTTTTTGGTCAAAATATTCTTCGTTTAATAGAGTTTAACATATGCTTATACGCATATAAATATGTTTTCATATTGAATTACAAACTTAAATAATTAACAAGATCAGTCCTTTCATACAATATATCACCCATACCATGCTTACAAGATATCATACTTATGTCCTGTTTTTTACATGAACATGAATGGTTACTTAACATGACAATGCAACTCTCTCTGCATAAAGTACATTTTTTCAATAAACTTCATGGTTGACAACTCCATTCCATTCAATCTTCCACTTAGCTGAAAGCTTTTTTGACTTTTTAAGTTTTTTTACAATCCTTGGGCCATAAACTATCTTTCATTTGCTCGCATATTTCCTTTTTTGAATCAATCTCTTTCTAATTAAAAGTTGCCAACACAATTTTTTGTATTTTTTTCTTTAATTTTTTCATTTTCTTTTTAGTTTTATTTTTTTGTTATTTATTGATTTTATTTTTATTTGTTTATTTTTTATTTACATAAATATTTAAAATTTTTTATTAAGAATGTATTTTAATTATTTGAAAATATAAAAAAACTAAAAATATGGGTTAAACAAATAAATTTATAAATTTATAACCATTTTTATTTATTTGCATCATGTAAATTCTATAAATTTTTTAAAATAAATGAAAATTATTCCAATGATGAAATTAAAACAAAATTTTTACTAAAAGAGTTGGAAAGATTCTGGAAATATTTCAATAAAAATTTATTTATTTTTAATAAATTATTAAGTAAAAAATAAATCTTGGTAAAAAGAAAATAAATAAACTTTTTTTTATAAAATATTAAATTAATTTGACTATGGAGCCATTTTAAAAGAACAAATTGATTTTTTGAATGCTCTTAAGATAATAAATTTTTTTAATAATTTTATCATAATGGTGAAAAGAAATTTTTTTTAATATTTCAACTAATGAAATTTAATTAAAAATAAAATACCATTTAGTTAGAATCCTTTTAAGATAATATAAAATTTATTGATACTGTCTTTGAATGGATATTATGAAACTGCTAATACTTTCTTAGTTAAATTATACAATAGATCTCTGTATTTTAGTTCAATTGTAGAATTAGTCTTTTTATCTTAATATGTGTAAATTAGCTTCCTATACTTCAATTAATTGTCAAATTTAGTCAAATTATCAAAGACACAAAATTTTTCCCTTAAAATTTATGACTTGGCATTTTTACATTTTTGACATAGCATTTTTACTTACATACCCATTGACTTTGTTGACATGTAAAGTCTACGTGGTAAAAAATAAAGATATGACAATTTTTTTTGACACATCATTATTCTTCAACACCAATTTTTTTTAAATTATACAACTCATCTTTATATTTTGGTTAAATAATAGAATTAGTCATTTTACCATAATATGTGTTCAAATATAATCCCTATATATCAATTAATTATCGAATTTATGACTTAAAATAACATATAAAAAACATAAATTATTAATTAGATCATGATTTCTTTTCATATTTAGAAAAAAAATTTTCGGATATTTGAATTATTAATTAGACATAATTTGACAAATTGGGTTAATCTCCAATTAGATTATAAGCCCAACATAATCTAAATTTTATTTTTTTTTTATCTTTCTTTTTTTTTATTTATTTTGATTTTGATGTTTTTATTTTTTGTTAATTTTTATTTTCAATATCTTTGAAATATAAAAATAAAAAATAGATAAAAAATAAAAACTTTAAAAATGACAGAAACGTAAAAGTTATATTGAAAAACTCATAATCAACAAACCCAATGAACCTAGATACATAATCAACAATTAAAGTAATTCTATACATTCCATTTTGTTTGAAATTTTTTTTTATATTAAATAGGTTTTAAATTTTGTCTCGATATTAGGTTTTAAAATCATTTTTTGATCAATTAGGCTTTAAATCTGAAATTGGATTATAAGCCCAAATTTAAAAATCCAAAAATATTTTATTTATGATTTATTTATTTTACTTATTTTTATTGATTAATTGGTGAAAGTCAAAAAGTCAAAGTAAAAAAAAATAAAAAAAATCAAAAATTGAAAAATTGAAAAAATAAGGAAAATATGAAATTTTTTTAAAAAGATTGATTTGGAAAAATTTTGAGAATTCAACAACAATCGACAAAATAGCACAACAAAATTAAAGAAAACCAACAAAAATAATTAAAAATAATTTTTTGTTTAGAAATTCTTTTTGTAGAGGTTTTAGGTTAAGAATTTTAGGGCATTATATTTAATTTTGTTTTGGACGATGATACAAAATAATAGTGTCAATCAATTTTTGGGCATTGATTATTTTTGGATTTTTGGATAAATTTTTTTTATGATCGTTAAATTTTTCAATAATTGATTTTTAGAAATCTTATTGAAATATAAGTTTGTTGAACGTGAATTGTAGAGAGAAGTAAGAAGAAAATGAGGTTAAGAAAGGAGAAAAAAAGAAAAATTAAAAAAATTTGTTTTTATAATAGGTTGAAATGATGCCTTTTTAGAAGGCGAATCTGATGCAACTTGTGTATTAACCCATGTGTTGACTTTGTTATAACTCGACTTATATGCATTGAAAAGTTTTTTTAAAACTTTATTTTAGTTATTTTAGGTAAAATCTTAAATTCAATAATTAATTGATATATAGAAACTAAATTTGAACACACACTAAGATAAAAAAAACTAATTTCACTATTTAATAAAAGCACAGAGATGAACCATACAATTTGAAAAAAGTTGATGTGATAAAATTTTTTTGCCATGTCATTATTTTTATCATTTAGACTTAATATGTTAACAAAATCAAAGGCCACGTAAGTAAGAATGCTATGTCAAAAAAGCTAAAATACTACATCATTAATTTTAACAAAAAAGTTTAAACTATTAATAATTTAATGAAATTTGATAATTTATTAAAATATAAAGATTTAATTTAAACACATACTTTTTTTTTGCATTTAAATTAATAAATAACATATAATTAAAGTTATCCCTAAATGAGGACAACACTCAATTGAATTGTGAGGTACCAAATTACTTTTTATTTTTTAAATAATTATTGGTGGATAAAAAACTGAAATAAGTTATTGGATTTAGTATATAATGGTGTAGTGGAGGATGGAGACATGGTGAGATGTGGTTTAATTGGATTTAGAAGTAAAGAATGTGAGTGTTTGTTTGATATAGGCTTGTAAATGGGTGGGCTTTTATAGGTTTTGAATTTTTATAATTTTTATTTATAATAAAATAAAAAATATAAAAAATATAATATAAATATATATAACAACAAAAATAAAAGATTAAGTTACTTTTTTTTCTATTTTAAATATTTTTATAAGAATTATATTTTACAATAAATTAAAAATTTGTACACATGAACAAATGATTAATAAAAATACACCATTCATAACATAAAAGAATTAAAAAAAATTTAATTACAATATATGAATCTATATATATTAATTTTAATTTTTTTATCAAAATATATGAAATACTATACATAAAATAGCATGCAAATTTAATAATTTTTTTTCATTTTTATTGTTTAATATTTAAACATTTAGATATGTCAAGTATGTTTTTATTATACTACTATTGCGAAGCGTGGATTTCTATCTACTTATTGCTTATTGATGATGCTACAAGGCTTATCAACAACTTGAAGATCGAAAGAGATAGGAAAAAAAATTAAGCTTTAATTTTTTACAAAATAAGAATTTTATGTTTTATTTTTAATATATTTTATTAATTAATTTAAAATGAAAGAGATTGCAAAAAAAAAAAAAAGCTATAGTTTTTTACAATATAAAAATTTTATGTTATTTTTTTTATGTTTAATATTTTTAATTATCAAAAGAATTATTTTTAAGAAATATTCTTTTTCTTTTAAAATTTTGTTCAAAGATCGTTCAAAATCAAAATTTAGTGATAACATCTAACAAAATTAAAATTCTAGCATTAAGAAAAAAGAAAAAAGGACAGTCCTAACTCAAAATGTAACTGTCACCGAGTCTACAAAAGTCTATCAATAAGAGAAATGAACGGACGATCGTAACCCACGTGTCCTTTCTGCTTTCTCTAACATTCTTCCCCGTTACGTGGCCGTGTACGATATGTCAACTAAAATCCCCTACAAAACTCACCTTCCCTCTCTTTCCACAAAATTACACAAACTGCCACTGTGTCAGCTCAGCCATGGCTACTCTCTCCCTACAAAATTCGCCTCTTCAATTCCGTCGATTCCGCCTCAGTAATTTTAATCTCAAAGCTGTGCCGAGATTTTCCTGCCAATTTTACGGGAAAAAAGTTAGGGTTTTGATTACTTCTTCGAGAAGAAATGTGAATGCTAGGGGAAGAGATGGACTGTTATCAATTTCTTGTTTTTCTAAAACGAATGCTGATATTGAAAGTGTTATATCCGAAGAAATAGGAGAAGAGCGGCCTCCTTTTGATATTAATCTTGCGGTTATTCTTGCTGGTTTTGCTTTCGAAGCTTATACTTCTCCTGTAAATCATTCATTTGGGGAATCCCAATTTCTTTTCTTTTCTTTTTCTTTTTGATTTTCTGTTTGGTTACTTAGAAATTGTTAGAAAATTGGAATTGGAATCGGTTGAATTACGAATTTTTTTTGTTTCTGCGTTTTCACTGAGAAGATGTTTTCATAAAACGGTTTGAATAAAACTAAAAAGATAAGTAGTAATTTAAACCAATCAATTTTTTTGAAAAGAAAAATGCAGGAAATTAAAAAATGGTTATGTTTGAATGTATATTTACATTTTAATCATTTGTTCATGTTTGATCAAAATATTGCTTTTTATCTAGTTTTGAAGAATTAAAAATGGAAATAAAAATAACCAAAAAAGAACATTAGCTTTAAGCAGGTTATTTAGGTATCTATTGGAAATAATATTTGATATTTTCTCTTTTGTTGTGTTTGTTTTCTTGTCAGGAAAATATAGGCAGGCGTGAAATTGATGCTGCAGATTGTAAGACTGTTTATCTCTCGGAGTATGTTTTGGTTTCCCGCTTAGTAATTAAACACTGATAAGATGTCCTTATAAATTGTTTAAAAGAAATTTTAATGCTAATTTTAGTTTTTAACTTGACATTAAGCAGTTGTGAATGCAATGCAGGTCGTTTGTACGAGAGATATATGATGGCCAGTTGTTTATAAAGTTAAAAAAAGGTTTTGATTTTCCTGCTATGGATCCATGGGTATGTTATGAAGTGAAAATTGGAGGTTTATGTGTGCTTTTTGTTGGTGACACGAATATAACTATGTCTTTTTGAAACTTTTGGAATGCCTTCAGGGAACTAGTGATCCATATGTGGTAATGCAATTGGATGGTCAAGTTGTCAAAAGCAAGACTAAATGGGGGTAAGTTATTGGTGTTTTGATATGTATTGTAGAGCTGATCTATGTATTTTCGAGACTGATAATCTCTCAAAAAAGGATCAGTAAATTGCTTATTTTAACATCACTTTAATAGCAGGAACCTTTGTCTAAAATGAAACTGACAGTGCTATCTGTTTCTTTCCATTTTTCTGTCTTTGACAAATTGTTTTCATTATATATTAGTATGCCTGACCCTTCATTGGAAGTTGTTATAATTTAATGCTATACAGTTTATTCTCTCTGTTACTGATATATTGTTCCTAAGCATGAATAAAGGCTATTGCTTTATTAGAGTATTTGTTAGGGTGATTCTGTTGCTGTTAGAAATGTAACTTATGGCCTGGAAAAATTTTCTAAATTGTGAACTTCAATATTTTGGATATACATTTCAACTGTTTTCAATGGAATGACTCTAGACCAATGTACCCTTAATCTAGAATATTGAGCATTTACAACTGACTTTTTATTGTTTATTTTATTCTTAATTATGTCATTCTTAAGATATTGTGCAGATATAAGTAGACATAACTTTACCTATCAAATTCATATACTCGTGGCTGTATGATTGCAGCACAAAGAAGCCAACGTGGAATGAGGATCTCACCTTTAATATCAAACTGCCCCCTGCGAAATATATTCTGGTCCGTATGCAATCTCTTAATATCTCCAGTTTCATTTTTTTGTCTTATTTATTTGCTTATCTTTTGATAGGAGCTTTCTTTTAATCTTCCTAGTTTCTAAGTTTCATCTCATTCCTCTTTCAATGAAACATGGCAAGTCACTTGTATTACTTACCTAGTTATAAAGTTACAATTGCATTAAAGAGTTATCTTAAAGAGTGACTAAACTTTTTGTAAACAGAATAGAACAGAATAGAGGAGAAAGAGAAGATAACTTCTTATTGATTAACATGAGAATTATAAAGATTTAAATAGACTAAAATTTAAACTTCATATCTACCAAACAACCTAATCACCTAAAAATCTAAATCTGTTAATATTTAACAGTTTAGATTTTATAACAAGATCTTGATATTTCTACACTCCCCCTCAAGTTGGTGCATTGATGTTAATCAGGCCCAACTTGTTGACTAGTGCTTCAAAATCATGTCTAAACAAACTCTTGGGTAGAATGTCTGCTGTTTGTTGCTCTGAGGTGACAAATGGCATGCAGATTACTCCACTTTCTAACTTCTCCTTAATGAAATGCCTATCAATCTCAAAATGTTTTGTATGATCATGCTGAACTGGGTTATTAGCTATGCTGATTGCTGCTTTATTATCACAAAAAAATTTCATAGGAGGTTCTGATTCTAGCTTCAGTTCTTAAAGAACTCTCTTCAGCCACATCATCTCACATACTCCATTAGCCATAGCTTGAAATTCTGCCTCTGCACTATTTCGTGCAACAACTTTCTGCTTTTTACCGCCCCAAGTGACAAGATTACCCCAAAGAAATGCACAATAACTAGAAGTTGATCTTCTATCAGTGATTGAGCCTGCCCAATCTGCATCTGTGAAAACTTTCACACTTCACAAATGGTTTTTCAGGAACAATTAGATCCTTTTGTATATTCTTAGGAACATCCACACTAGACAACTGTGAGGTAAAAGCATAAAAGGAGGGTGATAGATTTTTATCTGACACGTACTTGGAAATTGGATGCTGAGTACATGTTCCAACACCTTTCCTAAGAGCAATCGGAATATCTACAAAATTAAGAATGGCAATTTTTGAAGGATTAGATTCATAAAAGGTACCTAGACTGGAAGAAACTATGTTATTTGGATCTGGCCTTGTATTAGATTTTTGGTTTTGCAAGGTTGTGATGTCATCTTTCTTTTGAATCTGTTTTTTCTTGGAGTAGACAGTAAGCTCAGAACCTTCCTCTTTATTTCTTGAGTTATTCTCTGTTTTAGTTTCTATTTCACTTATAGGCAGTGAAGTAGGTTGCTCCACTTCCAAATTTAAAACTCCAAAATCCAAACTCATTAAAGTATCTAGTTGTAGTACAAAATCTGTGTTTTTACCTTCAAGTCCAAACAATGAGTCTTCACAACTATAGTTATTCTCCCCATGAAGAGGAGTGTCAAAAATTGAGATTCAAAAAAAGTAACATCCATAGTTATAAAAAACTTTTTTGTTTGAGGATGAAAACAGCAATAACCCTTTTGTGTTGAAGAGTACCTAAGAAAAACACATTTTATAGCTCGTGGGTCCAATTTACTGTGGTTATGGTCATGCACATGCACGAAAGCAACGCATGCAAACACTTTAAGAGATAAATCAAATGCTAAATGTGACATTGGAAAACATTTTTTAAACATATTTAATGGTGTTTAAAAGTTCAATACTTTTGATGGCATTCTGTTAATTAGGTAAGTGGCAGTAAGAACAGCTTCCCCCCATAAGTATTTGGGTACTTTAGTTGTAAACATTAAAGACCTAGCTACTTCCAAGAGGTGTTTATTTTTTCTTTCTGCAACTCCATTTTTTTGTGGAGCATCAATACAAGAGCTTTGATGAATAATCCTATTTTCCATAAAATATGTTCCAAGAATCTGATTAAAGTATTCTTTCCCGTTATCACTTCGAAACACTTGAATTTTTTCTTGAAATTGTGTTTCAACCATATTATAAAAATTTTTGAAAACATGTTCAACATCTGATTTTTCTTGGAGTAGATAAACCCAACAAACCCTTGTATGATCATCAATTAATGTTAGAAACCATCTTTTCCTAGAAATTGTTGGTGTTCTACAAGGGCCACATGCATCACTATGAACAAGAGCAAAATGGCTTAGAGGACTTTAAGGCTAAATAGGAAATGATGCACAATGATGCTTAGCAATTTGACTAATTTCACATTGAAAAAAAGATGGATTTTTATTCTTAAATAAATCTGGAAACAGGGACTTCAAATAGTGAAACTTAGGATGGCCTAACCTAAGATGCCACCACATTACGTCATTGTTACTAGAGACAGGGATTGGCCCAAGGCGAGTCGTTTGAGCTTGTCTGCACATGGTACTTCGATCTTCAAAATAATAGAGTCCACCACTTTCCTTAGCATTGCCAATCATCCTCCCCGAGTCCAATTCCTAAAATTCATAGTGAGTTGAGAAGAATTTAGCACAACATTTTAAATCACGAGTTAATTTGCTGGTAGATAGCAAATGACAAGAGAGGTTTGGAACATGGAGGGCATTATGAAGAATAAGAGATTTTGAAATGGCTATTGATCTTTTTCTAGCAATTGCTAAAAGGGAACCATCGGCAATTTTAATTTTTTGATTTCTAGCACACGGGCTATAAGAAGAAAACAATTTAGAACTACCTATCATATGGTCTGTTGCTCTAGAATCGATGATCCATGGACAACTAGTAATGGAGGACACATTAAAAGTAACAGCTTGAAAATGATTACCTTTTTGAGCTGCAGAACAAGAGGAAGACACATTGTTTGAGAATTGTGTGGATTGAAAAAGTTTATACGGTTGGTCTAACTGTTCCTTACTAAAAAGAGATGTCTCTGAGGCTCCTGCTCGCTCCTAGACACCTATTTGAAATGCTCTTAATTACGGTTGGACGATCTTGGCTTCCAATTCTGTGGTTTCCCATGTAATTCCCAACATGTATCTCTTTTGTGTTGTGGCTTCTGGCGATGATCACACCACACTTTCTCGCTTTTTTTATTCTACTGTGTCTGTCTAGACTGATTGTAAGATTGGGTCTCAGTGGCGAGAGCAAAAGCTTCAGCAGCAGGTTGGTTATTCTCTCCCAACATCGCCTTTGGTTGGCCTTGTTCTCTTTTTACTTCAGCAAACACTTCATGAAGAGTTGGCAGTGGTTTCTTGCCAAGAATTCGGCCTTTTACCTCATCTAGGTTCTTGTTCAGCCCTGCTAAAAGAACGTATACTCTATCATTTTCCATCCTTTTCATGTATCTTACACTATCATTTGCACAATCCCAATCTTCTTCATAACACAAATCTAGCTCTTGCCACAATGCTTTCATCTCATTGTAATATTTTGTCATCTCTCGAACTGCTTCCCATACTTCTCTCACAATTGGCAAAAACAAATAGGTTTTTTCGATTGCTGGCTCCATTGAATTTACAAGCCATGCAATCACTAAAGAATTCTCTGATCTCCATGTCTTCAATGTTGGGTCATTGCTAGCTGGTTTCTTTGCCTCACTTGTCAAGTGGACGAGCTTTCCCTTGCCATCGATCATGAGCTTCATTGATTGCGCCCATTCTAGATAATTTTTACCATTTAGTTTGTGAAAGGTCAATTGGACAGATGGATTTTCAAATCCATTAATATTTATGGCAGAAACACCTCCACTAACAGCAGCTGTGGATGCTGTGCCATTTTCTCCGATTATGGCTGTTTTGATCATCATGGTTTTCAAGTGAAATGCCTATTCTCTGATACCATGTAAACAGAATAGGACAGAACAGAGGAGAAAGAGAAGATAACTTCGTATTGATTAACATGAGAATTACGAGGATTTAAATATACTAAACTTTAAATTTTAAAATTTAGACTTCATATCTACCTAACAACCTAATCACCTAAAAATCTGTTAATATTTAACAGTTTAGATTTTATAACAAGATCCTGATATTTGTACACTTTTGTAGGTACAAAAACATGAAACCACTAACAACTCCTTTTATCTATGAGAAATAACAGATGATTCCTAGATTATCATGCACCCAAACAACAATATCCTTATTTTCAGAGTCCATTATCCTTTTCTAACACATGCTGTAGTCACTTTTCATCTCCAGCTACATCTTTCTGCAACAACAACTACATCAAAATGCACTTGCTAGCCCTTTTCTAGTGAAAAAATAGGAGTTTGATTGCACATCCTTGATAATACTGCCCTTCTTGAACCACATTTTCCAATGGAATAAGAGAGATGAGGAAAAATCATAGATCAGAATAATTTATAAAAATTGGGTTAAAAATATCAAAATTGTGTGCTTAAATTCACAGCTATGGCATCCAATGCCTGTTTATGACCAACTCACATGCTTTTGTTGCATTGTGAATCTGATGCATTTATGGCTTTTATTGCTACTGTCTTTACCATTGAGCATGTATCTTTGAAATTGGTTTGATGAATAGCAACTATACTATATATATTTCTATTTATCATCCATGTGTGCATTCATGGCTTTTATTGCAACTTTCTTGACCATTGATTATCAATTTTTAAAATGAGTTTGATGAATAGTCAGCTTGATAGTGACTATAGTTTTCCACTTTCCTCTTTTTTAAGGGCCTTTTATTATGATTATATATCTTTATTTATCTTCTCTATGATTATCGTCATCATAACTGTGCTCTTTATGTGTGCATGCTGTGGGAAAACACTTACTTACAGCTGGTTGTAATCTTGTAATCTATATATTTATATTTGTATCTATAGAATTAAGTATTTGTATCCCTAAAATTAGGATAGACAATCCCTCAATTATAGGATTAGTTTTTTAGGAAGATTTAGTTTCCTAGTTTAACCCTAGTTAGTTGTATATAAACTTAAGATTATTGTATAATTCTCAATAAGCAGTTTTTCAATATACATTCAGTTTTCACACTGATTTATTTCTTAGTTTTTTCACATGATATCAGAGCTTTAGGCTCTTCTTGGGAAGCAAAATTTTTAGCTTTCATTGCTGACTTCTATTTTAGGCCTTCACTGCCGAATCCTGTTTAGGCCTTAATTGCCGAACCCTTTCAAAGAAAGATATTACTACCACCCAATTTGAGGAAATGTCAACTGGGAAAATCATTGGAGATGTCTCAGAAACAAGGAGAGTTCGACAGGGAAGAGATTGAAAAACTGAAAAACTTATTGAAAATCCTTGAAAAGCCTACTATGGTATGTTCTTTGGGTAAGGTTTCTAGTTCAGGTAAAGCTTCCGGTTCTCATGGATTAAATGTCTTGGCTAAGCCTATTACGAGTTCTTGAGTCATTGACTCAGGAGCTACAGATCATATGACACATTCCTCACAAAAGTTTAGTACATATAACCTGTGTCTTAGTAATAAGAAAATTGTTGTTGCAGATGGTTCACTTACTACAGTGACAGGATTAGGAGATGTTCAAGTTAATCCCTCGTTTGTTCTCAAAAATGTTCTTCATGTTCCTGGATTGTCTATTAATATGATATTTATACAAAAACTTACCAGAGATATGAATTGCAAAGTAACTTTTTATCTCTTTTATTATGAATTTCAGGACTAGAGTTCGGGAAAGATGATTGGACTTGCTAAGGAGAAGGATGGACTATACTATCTTGAGACATCAAATAACACAAGTAATATCAAAAATAGTTTACCTTTGTCATTTCTTTCTAGAAAATCTTCCAATAAAGACAAAATTTAGCTTTATCATTTTCGTCTTGCACATCTTTCGTTTGAAACTTTGAGAAACATGTTTCTTTCTTTGTTCAAAGGATTAAATGTTGAAGATTTTCATTGTGATATTTGCGAACTTGCAAAGCATAGATGTGTGTCTTTTCCAATCAATAACAAAAGAAGTTCTACTCCCTTTTACTTGATTCATAGTGACATTTGGGGTCCATCTACAATTCCTAATATTTTTTGTGCGAGATGGTTTGTTTCATTTATAGATGATTGTACCAGGGTCTCTTGGGTTTTTTTACATAAATCCAAATCAGATGTGAATAGTATATTTTTAAGCTTCCAAAACATGATCCAAAATCAATTTGGAGTGAGAATCAAGAGATTTAGTGCTGATAATGCAAGAGACTACTTCAACCAGAGTCTATCCACATATTTCCAAAAAGAGGGGATTATCCTTGAGTCATCTTGTGTTAATACTCCACAGCAGAATAGAGTGGCAGAGAATAAAAACAGCCATTTATTAGCCACAACCCGAGCCTTTCTTTTTCAAGCAAATATACCTAAATCTTATAGGGGGAAAGCTGTTTTCATTGCCACACACATTATAAATAGGTTACCTTCAAGAGTTTTGGGATTTAAAACTCCTATGGAACTATTCTCACAATTTTATCCCAACTTCAATACCACAAACAATCTCACACTTAGGATATTTGGTTGTAAATCATTTGTTCATGTTCATAGTCATAATAGGGAAAAGTTGGATCCAAGAGCGATTAAGCGTATTTTTGTGGGGTATTCTTCAACTCAAAAAGGATATAAGTGCTATCATCCTCTTACCAAAAAATTTTATGTGTTTGTAAATGTCACTTTTGAAGACAATAAACCATTTTTTACTCAACCTTATCTTCAGGGGACACTTCATTCATGGAAGATAAGGATAAAGACTTCTTTTTGCTTGATTTGGCCCCTTCTTCAACATTTACACCCATTAATTCTTCTGAGTCGAAACCTGTTTCTGCTGAGCGCAAGTCAAACACTGAATTTGAGTCTGAACTCATTCCAAATACGGAAGATGTGACAAAGGATAAAATTGTTCTTGATTCTATGAAGGAATTACAGGTGTACTCAAGAAAAAAAGTTCCAGATCCTGAACCAGTGCCAGTCCAAGAACCTGATCCTAACTCTGGAAATGAGGTAACTACAGTTTTTTACTTTATTTCTTAAAATGAGCATGAATCTCCTAAAACTATAACTAGTGATTATGATCTGCCTATTGCCATTAGGAAAGGAACTAGAGAATGTGCCAAGCATCCACTATACTCAATCTCTAATTTTGTGTCATTTGAAAAATTCTCACCATCCCATAAAAATTTTCTTGTGAGCCTAAACACTATTTCTGTTCCAACTACATTATCCGAGGCATTATCCAGTGAGAAATAGAGGCAAGCCATGAAAATAGAAATGGAGGCGTTAGAGAAAAATCAGACATGGGAACTGGTAGAGTTGCCTAAAGGAAAAAATCCAGTGAGGTGTAAATGGGTTTTCACTGTAAAATGTAAGGCAGATGATATTGTTGAAAGGTATAAAGCTAGGTTAGTGGCTAAGGGTTACACTCAAACCTATGGAGTGGATTACCAGGAAGCCGTTGCTCTAGTTGCCAAGATGAATACAGCTAGGATTTTGTTATCATTGGCTGCAAATTACAATTGGCAGCTTCAACAATTTGATGTAAAGAATGCTTTTCTACATGGTGATTTGGAAGAAGAAATATATATAAAGGTTCCACCGAGATTTAGAGGCCATCTAGAAGCAAACAAAGTATGCAGGCTGAAAAAAGCTTTATATGGCCTTAAACAGTCTCCTAGAGCTTGGTTCGGGAGATTTGCCAAAGTGATGCTAGCAATGAGATATAAACAAGAGTCAAGGAGATCACACATTGTTTATCAAGCACTCTGATTCAAGGAGAGTCACAGTTCTATTAGTGTATGTTAATGATATAATTGTAACTGGAGATGATGAAAAAGAGAGAGAATCTCTAAAATAGTGTTTGGCTAGAGAATTTGAGATAAAAGAGCTAGGGAGATTGAAGTACTTCCTAGGAATTGAAGTAGCTCACTCACGGCATGGTATTTTCATCTCACAACAGAAATATATGATGGATCTTCTGAAGGAAACTGGGAAGGTTGCATGTAAACCTGCAAATACCCTTATAGATCCTAATCATAAAATTGGAGAAGCTAATGAAGATGCTGCTGTAAATAGAGAGATGTACCAAAGATTAGTTGGAAGACTCATTTATCTCTCACATACTAGACCTAATATAATATATGCTGTGAGTGTGGTAAGTCAATTTATGCATAGTCCTAAAGAAGTGCACCTACAGGCTGTCTACCGTATATTGCACTATTTGAAGGCCAATCCTGGGAGAGGTATCTTATTCAAAAGAAATTCGGGGTTAGTTCTACAAGCATATACAGATGCTGATTATGCAGGTTCAGTAACTGATAGAAGATCTACCTCAGGCTACTACACTTTCTTAGGTGGTAATCTTGTGACTTGGAGGAGTAAAAAACAGAATGTGGTGGCAAGATCAAGTGCTGAAGCAGAGTTCAGAGCAATGGCTCAAGGAATTTGTGAACTACTATGGTTAAAGATTATCCTAGAAGACTTGAAGATCAAGTGGGATGGATCAATGAGACTCTACTGTGATAACAAGTCTTCAATAAGCATTGCACACAATCCTGTGCAACATGACAGAACAAAACACATTGAAGTAGACCGGCATTTCATAAAGGAGAAACTAGACAGTGGGTTGATTTATACACCTTATGTATCAACCAATGGTCAACTTGCCAATGTGTTGACTAAAGGTCTCAGCAGTGCAACATTTCAAGAAATTATTTCCAAGCTGGGAATGGAAAACACCTATTCACCAGCTTGAGGGGGAGTGTGGGAAAACACTTATTTACAGCTGATTGTAATCTTGTAATCTGTATATTTATATTTGTATCTCTAGAATTAAATATTTGTATTCTTAAAATTAAGATAGACAATCCCTCAATTATAGGATTAGTTTTTTAGGAAGATTTAGTTTTCTAGTTTAACCCTAGTTAGTTGTATATAAACCTAAGATTCTTGTATAATTCTCAATAAGCAGTTTTTCAATATGCATTCAGTTTTCACATTGATTTATTTCTTAGTTTTTTCACACATGCGTGTGGGTGTGTGTGTTGATACTTGCTCAGCATGGTATTCCAAATTAAATGATGCAAAAACACCATCTGCAGTTCTAAACTTCATACAGTAGTTAAAGGACATATTTCACAATGTTATTGGATTGTAGTTTATGAATTTGTTGCACAACTTCTGGTTTGTTATTTTAATGAGCACCATCAAACTTCAGGTTGCTGCTTGGGATGCAAACCTTGTAACTCCGCATAAGCGCATGGGGAATGCAGGCATTAATCTAGAAAGCCTCTGTGATGGTAGGAATTTGAACTACATGTATGACCTGGATTTATTAGATTAACAGGCCTTCAAAATTCATGTTGCTGTATCTAATTTGGTGAGATTATAATGTGATCATCCAGCAAGGGTATTGTGTTGCTATTATACATGAAATTTTATGGAATGTATGTGATCTCATGTTGTTAAGGTAATGCGTTTAGGAACCAGACTACAATTTCAATTTCATTACCTATGGGCTTACTAACAATTGGCAGATTAAGTTCCAAATTCATAGCTGCATATATTTTTTCTGTTTTAAAATAACATCAATTAAAGTGTGTGTTTTTTTCCAGGAAACTTGCATGAAGTGCTGGTGGAGTTGGAAGGAATGGGTGGTGGTGGCAAGTTGCTGCTTGAGGTAGATCTCTCTGGTGCTATTGTAAAAAAGAAAAAAAAAAAACACCGTTCTGGAGAATATTTTCTTATTTCCAAGTGAATGTTTCAATGCCTAATTGGGTTCATTGCGTGCTAGGATTTGAAAATTTTAATGTAGAGGTTCTGAAATATCTGCTCTCTAAGCATGAAATTTAATCTAAATTTTAATGCATATTTTAGTCCATGGTATTGGCCATACAAATATTACCACTAATGACATAGTATTCTAGTCATGGAGAAAAAGGCTCTTCAACTCTTCTTGGAAGATCGAATCTATATTAAAATATTCAAGTTTACTGGAAAAGATGGACTTTTAGTATTTTGAATGTTTTCTTGTAAATGGAGGAAAGGTTTACGGTATGGGTCGCTTGCTGCATTTCAAATTCCTCATGCACACATGAAGTTCCCTTTGAAAATGTCTAATTTTAGGCCTTTCTTCTCTTTATGGCAGCTTATTTGTAATTTTAGTTGTGAAAGGTTCTCCTAAATTTAGGTTTATGTACCATTGCAAGATTAGATTATTTAGATGCCTGAGGAATCTTGTAGTGGTTTGAGGGTAGTTTCCTAAATCAAGATTTCTGGTAATCTCAGAATATATAATTCTAGCAGATGTGATTCAACTAAATTTTAATTTTGATAAGGTCTAAATTACTGAATTATAAAGTCTCCAATAGAATGGAGTTGATGAGATATAATAGCACTTGCTCTAAGTTGCCTATAAACATCTTAGTCATTCCTTATTGGTTGTAATATGATATATTAAGTGCCCCAGCTATAGAGGTGCCTGAGTAATTTGGATGTACATGCTCGCATAGAGCATAATGTTTTCTTCTTGAAAATTTCATTGGCCTCACTATATTACATTCTTTGAATCAATCTTCCCATTCCTTTTGTTGGAGAAACCTGTTTTTATGAAGGGCCAAAAATATATCTCCTTATCTCTTAATAATTCTTTCTCAATTCTATTCACTCTTTGTCCCTTAACTAAAGAAATACTTTTACCATTTCACATGTGGTCTTTTGGTGTGGATGAATGGGTGGCTAATATATTTGCTTACTGCTGGTGAATGGAATGTCACGGAGCCCTCTGTATTGAAGGTAATGCCGCTTTTGCTTCTTCTTTTAATTCATTAACTTTTCTTTTTCACTTTTCTCGATGACTTATTTTTTCATTTCCTGTTTGATTTGGCTTGTTTATGTAATATTTTATCTTTCAGTTATTTATAGTAGCTCTGATTGTTTCACCTTCTTGTTTCTCTCTAACATCTATTTTTGATGATATTTTTGCAGAAAATATTGCCAGTCTCCATAGGAAGGCAGGCAGCAGTGTTCAAAGAGATTATGTTCCTAGAAAGAATGTTAATCTTTTTTTCAAAGATAAGAAAACTTTTGGAATGCAAATGAGAGTATAACTTATATCCAATGGGTCAATAAAGAGAAATCTTGTTGTTAAAGGCTTATCAGAGACTGAGAGCAAAAAGGATAAAATCTTCTCAAGCATATTGGGTTGATTATCATAAAGCCTTTCTAGTTCCTATTGATTTACAATGGGTTGCCTTGTCAGGTCTTTCTGACTTCTTTTTTTTTTTTCTTAACACTTCAACCTCTCTAAGTGCAAAAAACGGTTTTATCAATGTACAGAATCAGTTTAAGCAACAAAAATGGGAGAGATATCACTAAGTTCAGTTTGATGGGTCTTGAAAGATGATAGGTAGAATGAAGGCATGGATGAGAAGTTGACCATTTATGTACCTAGACTTGATTATCATTTGTCCTGAAATGATTTTTCTTGTAGTTATCTCATTTCTTGCCCTATCAAGTTTTGGGCCTATAGTTGTGCACTAAGACCAAATATATTTAAGCATAGTCATATTTATTAAGAACTTAGCAGGCATAAAAAATTCAATAGATTAGCAATTACTTCTTATACTTCTAATAATATATGACTATATAACTAAAGGCACTTAGGATTAGCTCCGTTTTGATATAGTTTATGTGGAACCTTGTTGATGATGATTCAAATGTATGTTGTTGGATTTAGGTTGTTTCTGCTGGGAATACATGAGGTTCCGAAGTATCACTTGTGACTATATGTTCTCTTAGAAGATATCAACAGCAAATTCTCGTATTATTTTGAGTAAAATATCTCTGTTATTTGAAATATTTTAAGGATCAAAGTTGTTGATGTTGATCAACAATGATTTTTAGATTTCAAGAGAAGAATGTGTCGGCACTCCAGATGAGCACCTGCATGCAAGCTTGTGACTTTGTTTGTTCTTATGGGGTTGACTATAGGAGCAAATTATGCATGGAGATTCATGAAGTTGGTAGGAATAACTAGATAATAGACATGCATATATAAAGTGAGATAAGAAAAGTGGTAAACTGAATATCTATTATTTGAAGTACTCAAGATAAGTAAGAGGATACTGGATATCTATTTTACTTGTCTCTTTTAAGATCTCTTAATCATCAGTGTTTCTATGAGCAAGTTTGAGTGCATAGGTTTTAGTTCTCAGTTACTGATAGTGTTCAGTTTAGGAATGCTTGAAGTTATTGTTGAGTTAAGGACTGTCCTTGAACAGTTCATGTGAGACGGGCTCCTTGAACAGTTCATGTGAGATAGGGGCATACCCTGATGCTAACTAAGCAGGTATTTATCCAAATCTTCTAGCAAATATGAGAAATGGTCAGTTAAATTTTTAATATAAATGTGGAATTTGAGTTTTCCATGTTTATGGAGTTTAATGATTTTAGTATTGGTAATAGTTAAAGTTTAAGTACAATGAATTGTCTTGGTGTAAATTTCATAAATGATTTCTCTTCACCAACTTGAAGGGAATTGTCCTCTGAGGCATACCTTTCTGATAATTTTATTTTTCTTGCATCTTGCAACCATTTGATTGTTCACTTTGTTAGCCGGTTGCCAAAGTATTGGTCAATAAGGTTGATTGTTGAATTCTCTCACATTTTAAAATTAATACCTGTGTGAAAAAACTAAGAAATAAAATAGTGTGGAAACCGAATGTATATTGGAAAACTGCTTGTTTAGAATTATACAAGAATCTTAAGTTTATATACAACTAACTAGAGGTTAAATTAGGAAACTAAATCTTCCTAAAAAACTAATCCTATAATTGAGGGATTGTCTATCCTAATTTTAGGGATACAAATACTTAATTCTAGAGATATAAATGTAAATATATAGATTACAAGATTACAACCAGCTGTAAATAAGTGTTTTCTCACACTCCCCTTCAAGCTGGTGAATAGGTGTTTTCCATTCCCAACTTGGAAATAATTTCTTGAAATGTTGCATTGTTGAGACCTTTAGTCAACACATTTGCAAGTTGACCCTTAGTTGATACATAAGGTGTACAAATCAACCCACTGTTTAGTTTCTCCTTTACGAAATCCCGGTCTACTTCAATGTGTTTTGTTCTGTCATGTTGCACGAGATTATGTGCAATGCTTATTGCAGACTTGTTATCACGGTAGAGTCTCATTGGTCCATCCCACTTGATTTTCAAGTCTTCTAGGATAATCTTTAACCATAGTAGTTCACAAATTCCTTGAGCCATTGCTCTGAACTCTACTTCAGCCCTTGATCTTGCCACCACATTCTGTTTTTTACTCCTCCAAGTCACAATATTACCACCTAAGAAAGTGCAGTAGCCTGAGGTAGATCTTCTATCAGTTACTGAACCTGCATAATCAGCATCTGTATATGCTTCTAGAATTAACCCCGAATTTCTTTTGAATAAGATACCTCTCCCAGGATTGGCCTTCAAATAGTGCAATATACGGTAGACAGCCTGTAGGTGCACTTCTTTAGGACTATACATAAATTGACTTACCACACTCACAGCATATGCTATATTAGGTCTAGTATATTTACAGCAGCATCTTCATTAGCTTCTCCAATTTTATGATTAGGATCTATAAGGGTATTTGCAGGTTTACATGCAAGCTTCCCAGTTTTCTTCAGCAGATCCATCACATATTTCTGTTGTGAGATGAAAATACCATACTGTGAGTGAGCTACTTCAATTCCTAGGAAGTACTTCAATCTCCCTAGCTCTTTTATCTCAAATTCTCTAGCCAAAAACTGTTTTAGAGATTCTCTCTCTTTTTCATCATCTCCAGTTACAATTATATCATCAACATACATTAATAGAACTGTGACTCTCCCTGAATCAGAGTACTTGATAAACAATGTGTGATCTCCTTGACTCTGTTTATATCCCATTGCTAGCATCACTTTGGCAAATCTCTCGAACCAAGCTCTAGGAGACTGTTTAAGGCCATATAAAGCTTTTTTCAGCCTGCATACTTTGTTTGCTTCTAGAGGACCCCCAAATCCCGATGGAACCTTCATATATATATTTCTTCTTCCAAATCACCATGTAGAAAAGTATTCTTTACATCAAATTGTTGAAGCTGCCAATTGTAATTTGCAGCCATTGATAACAAAATCCTAACTGTATTCATCTTGGCAACAGGAGCAAAGGTTTCCTGGTAATCCACTCCATAGGTTTGAGTGTAGCCCTTAGCCACTAACTTGGCTTTGTACCTTTCAACAGTACCATCTGCCTTATATTTTATAGTGAAAATCCATTTACACCCCACTGAATTTTTTCCTTTAGGCAATTCTATCAATTCCCATGTCTGATTTTTCTCTAAGGCCTCCATTTTTATTTTCATGGCTTGCCTCCATTTCTCATTGGATAATGCCTCGGATAATGTAGTTGGAACAGAAATAGTGTTTAGGTTCACAAGAAAATTTTTGTGGGATGGTGAGAATTTTTCAAATGATACAAAATTAGAGATTGGGTATAGTGGATGCTTGGTACATTCTCTGGTTCTTTTCCTAATGGCAATAGGCAGATCATAATCACTAGTTATAGTTTTAGGAGATTCATGCTTATTTTGAGAAACGGAGTCAAAAACTGTAGTTACCTCATTTCCAGAATTAGGATCAGGTTCTTAGACTGGCACTGGTTCAGGATCTGGAACTTTCTTTCTTGAGTACACTTGTAATTCCTTCATAGAATCAAGAACAATATTATCCTTTGTCACATCTTTCGTATTTGGAATGGGTTCAGACTCACATTCAGTGTTTGACTTGGGGTCAACAAAAACAAGCTTCGACTCAGAAGAATTAATGGGTGTAAATGTTGAAGAAAGGGGCAAATCAAGCAAAAAGAAGTCTTTATCCTTATCTTCTATGAATGAAGTCTCCCCCTGAAGATAAGGTTGAGTAAAAAATAATTTATTTTCTTCAAAAGTGACATTTGCAGATACATAGAACTTTTTGGTAGGAGGATGATAGCACTTATATCCTTTTTGAGTTGAAGAATACCTCACAAAAATACACTTAATTGCTCTTGGATCCAACTTTCCCCTGTTATGACCGTGAACATGAACAAATGATGTACAACCAAATATCCTAGGTGTAAGATTGTTTGTGGTATTGAGGTTGGGATAAAATTGTGAGAGTAATTCCATAGGAGTTTTAAATCCCAAAACCCTTAAAGGTAACCTATTTATAATGTGTGGCAGTGAGAACAGCTTCCCCTCAGTAAAATTTGGGTACATTTGCTTGAAAAAAAAAGGCTCGGGTTGTGGCTAGTAAATGGCTGTTTTTCCTCTCTGCCACTCCATTCTGCTGTGGAGTATTAACACAAGATGACTCATGGATAATCCCTTCTTTTTGGAAATAGATAGATAGACTCTGGTTGAAGTAGTCTCTTGCATTATCAGACCTAAATCTTTTGATTCTCACTCCAAATTGATTTTGGATCATGTTTTGGAAGCTTAAAAACACACTATTCACATCTGATTTGGATTTAAGTAAAAAAACTCAAGAGACCCTAGTACAATCGTCTATGAATGAAACAAACCATCTTGTACCAGAAATATTAGGAATTGTAGAGGGACCCAAATGTCACTATGAATCAAGTAAAAGGGAATAGAACTTCTTTTGTTACTGATTGGAAAAGACACACGTCTATGCTTTGCAAGTTTGCAAACATCACAAAGAAAATCTTTGACATTTAATCCTTTGAACAAAGAAGGAAATATGTTTCTCAAGGTTCCAAAAGAAGGATGTCCAAGACGAAAATTATAAAGCTAGATTTTGTCTTTATTGGAAGATTTTTCAGAAAGAAATGACAAAAGGTAAACTATTCTTGATACTACTTGTGTTATTTGATGTCTCAAGATAGTATAGTCCATCCTTCTCCTTAGCAAGTCCAATCATCTTTCCCGAACTCTGGTCCTAAAATTCACAATAAGAGAGATAAAAAGTTACTTTGCAATTCATATCTTTGGTAAGTTTTTGTATAGATATCAAATTAGTAAATAATCCAGGAACATGAAGAACATTTTTGAGAACAAACGAGGGATTAACTTGAACATCTCCTAATCCTGCCACTGTGGTAAGTGAACCATCTGCAACAACAATTTTCTTATTACTAAGACACAGGGTATATCTACTAAACTTTTGTGAGGAATGTGTCATGTGGTCTGTGGCTCCTGAGTCAATGATCCAAGAACTCGTAATAGGCTTAGCCGAGACATTTAATCCATGAGAACCAGAAGCTTTACCTGAACTAGAAACTTTACCCAAAGAACATACCACAGTAGGCTTTTCAAAGATTTTCAATAAGTTTCTCAGTTTTTCAATCTTTTTCCTGTCGAACTCTCCTTGTTTCTGAGACATCTATAGTACTCCAGTGATTTTTTCAGTTAACATTTCCTCAAATTAGGTGGTAGTGATATTTTTCTTTGAAAGGGTTCGGCAATGAAGGCCAAAACAGGATTCGGCAAGGCCTAAAAAAGTCGACAATGAAGGCTGAAAATTTTGCTTCCCAAGAAGAGCCTAAAGCTCTTATACCATTTGGAAAAATTAAGAAATAAAACAGTGTGGAAACTAAATGTATATTGAAAAATTGCTTATTTAGAATTATACAAGAATCTTAGGTTTATATACAATTAACTAGAAGTTAAACTAGGAAACTAAATCTTCCTAAAAAACTAATCCTATAATTGAGGGATTGTCTATCCTAATTTTAGAAATACAAATACTTAATTCTAGAGATACAAATATAAATATACAGATTACAATATTACAACCAGCTGTAAATAAGTGTTTTCCCACAACCTGAGTAATTTAAACTCTTAGGACATTGATTTTTGCATATTTTGATTAATGGAGCTAGTGTAATTTGGATGTATCATTTCTTCTATTATGGATAGGAAAGGTAATGAGTTGCGAGTCCTGCCAGAAAAATGAACCATGATGCTTAAGTCTTATAGAGACTTCTTTGCTGTAATATGCATTTCCTCAGTGTTTTAACTGCCACAATTCTTGTGTTGCTGATGGAAAATTTGATCTACTTTTCATCATATAAGTTCAAGGTATATTTAATTAAAAAACCACCTAAACTTGTAATGTTCTAGTAGAACTTATAATTCGTATTGCCTGTACTTGTGTTTGGTATGGTTTCAGGTTAAGTACAAGAGTTTTGAAGACATTGAGGAAGAGAAGATGTGGTGGAAACTCCCCTTTGTTTCTGAATTTCTTCGGAGAAATGGATTTGAGTCTGCTCTAAAAATGTTTGTTGGCAGTGAGTCTGTGCCTGCACGCCAGTTTGTTGAATATGCCTTTGGGCAGTTAAGGTCCTTCAATGATGCGTATTTTTTGAAGGAACAATTGTTGAATGGTAATAAGAATGTGGCTGAACCTGTTGGGACTTCCAATGATTCCACTGTGTCAGAGATGTCTTCTTCACATGTGGAAAGTAGTTCAGAAGCATCTTTCAGTGACACAAGTACCGAAACCGAGAATAATTCAGAGGACTTCCACTTGGACAATGCTGGCATGGCTAATAGGCAGAACACTAAACCAGTGTCACAAGTTGATACTATGCAGTTTGATAAGTACTTCTGGAAGAACCTTGCAGATGTTATCAATAAAAGTGTTGTTCAGAAACTTGGAGTTCCTGTTCCAGAGAAATTAAAGTGGGATGGATTTGACTTGTTAAACAAAATTGGCCTACAGTTCCAAAAAATTGCAGAAGCAAAATATATTGAATCTGGGCTTGCAACTCCAGATGATCAGGATATTCAAGGTGATAAAGTGCTTGAACCTGGGTTTGCAAGTCCTGAAGATCCCGAAAATAAGAATGATAGTGCGATTGGACCATTTACCATTAGCACTATACAATCTTCACTCCCAGGCATAAAGAAGGCAACGCAGGATTTATTAAGACAAACTGATTCTGTTTTAGGAGCATTAATGGTGTTGACTGCAGCAGTTTCTCAGTCCAAAAGGGAAGGACAGGAGAATGAAACTAAAGAAGAATCCTCTGCCAAAGCAGAAAGCAATGTCTCTAGTTATAGTGGTGGTGAGAAGCTCCCTATCACACTGGATGGTTCGGTATTAGATGAGAAAAAGGCTGAAGAAATGAGAGAACTCTTTGCAACTGCTGAAAGTGCTATGGAAGCCTGGGCAATGCTTGCCACCTCACTGGGCCATCCTAGTTTTATCAAATCTGAATTTGAGAAAATATGTTTTCTGGATAATGAAACCACAGATACCCAGGTGACCTTTTATCTCATCAAAATAAGCTCACGTTTCGCTATAATTTTCTTATTCTTGAACCCGTATCTTTCACATTACCTTACTATTTGATTTAAATGATTATTTCATTTTATTTTGCTATAATTTTCTTATTCTTGAACCCATGTCTTTCACATTACCTCACTATTTGATTTAAATGATTATTTCATTTTATCACTAAGTTTTAGGCACCTGCAGGTGGCAATTTGGCGTGATTCAGCGAGGAGGCGATTAGTTATTGCTTTTAGGGGGACTGAACAAGTGAGTTTCATCTATTTATTCACAAACTTGGCTGAATTATTTAGCTTTAGCTTAAATTAATTATTTATTGACCATCCAGGCAAGATGGAAGGACTTATGGACAGATTTAATGCTTGTTCCTGCTGGGTAATTTCAAATATCTATCCTCTTCTCTCTCGCTTTCTCCCTAGAAGGTTTTTCAGTTGTAGTAAACATTTTTTCTTACTAATTCAGTAAATGTGGCTTTTGGAAGTCTGCCTATTCATAATATAAATAGCATTACCATGACAAAGGTGCTTCTCTATTCTCTTGATCACCTTAAAAGGATGGGGGGGGGGGGGAATAGCACAATCATGAATGTACTTGCAGATTAACAGTTGCTGATAATAACAATGCAGAGGATCTTTTTTGTTAAATATCTGACATTGTTACATCTGCAATATTTCTCAGTGATGTTGAAATCCGGGCAATGATTCATTATAGTTCATTTCCTACTACTCTGAACTCTTCTTTTGAGTCATATTTAGGGCAAGATTATATTTCCTGAAAAGTTTTGCAGATAAACATTATTCCTAGTTTTTATTTTCCTCAGACAAACATCATTCACAATTAAAATATAATTTAGAAAGGCACATATTTTAGTGTTTTTTTTCTGATACTAACTTTTATCCTGCCTATGTAGGCTAAACCCTGAAAGGATTGGTGGCGACTTCAAGCAAGAAGTCCAAGTATGCTTACAGTTTATAGAATTAGTTTTTTCTTTCTTTTCAAAGATAATATATATGAGATGCACATATTATTGATAACTGTTGTTAACTTAATTGCCTGAAGTAGTGATGCTGGCTATACTTTGCAGGTTCATAGTGGATTTTTAAGTGCATATGATTCAGTTAGAATAAGGATTATCTCCCTCATCAAAGCATCAATTGGATATATGTAAGCATTACTGTTGTGACCTTTCTTCTTGGTCTCTTTGATAATGTTCCAATTCAAGCGTAGATCTAACATGTTGATATTTAGTACAAAAGGTTTTGCATATATCCATAAATCTTTAGAGGTGTCTTAGCTTTTGTTTATATGGAATTCTTGATTGGCACCTTTCATTTATTTCTTCACTTGCTTTATAGTTATTTTTTCAAGTTAGTCATGGAGATGATATTGGATCTCTAACATGTCTCTCTTTAAGCTGTTAATAAACCTTGATACAGGATATTAGACGTGTATTTCAGTATTTGATTCCATGAAAGTAGAAGGTTGATGTTATTGATGTTAAGCAGAAGGCCTACACACTGCATATTCGAAATTATAAAATATGGATTGGTTATTCTTAGCAGAAGTTGTCTGTGCATGTTTGTGTGACAGAGATGAAATTGCAGAGCCGCTGCATGGATGGCAAGTTTATGTGACAGGTCATAGTCTGGGTGGTGCACTAGCTACCCTTCTTGCTCTTGAACTTTCATCAAGTCAATTAGCAAAGTAAGTTTCTCTCTCATTTCACTTAAGAATGATATTCTTTATTTTTTTTCTCAATGCATTACATGCTATTGAAATTGTGCAAAGAAGCACAGAAAAATTATACTTGTAGCTATTTAAAAGAAACTAAACATATGTGTTTAGGAAAAAAATGAAACAAAACATATAAGTGGAAGAGTTAGTTGCCTTTTCAATCCTCAACTCTGTCAGTACTTGAAAAATTGGTGAATCAGAGACCTCATTTGGACTAAATGCTAAAAGTCGCTAATTAATATCAGTTTATACTCAGGTTTTTCATGAAAGTTCAAAGATTGTAGAAAGCTGAATTTAGCTTTTCTTTTTTTTTTTTTTTTTTTTTTTTTTTTTTTGCTCATAATGCAAGCTTTTGGAAATTATCTCTTCTTGGCGGTCCAAGACCTAAGGCCCTTTTAATCAGAAATTGGCAAAAAAATAATTTATTGAACTTCCTATCTCATTTGTGTTTGTCAGACGCGGGGTGATTTCAGTGACTATGTATAACTTCGGTTCTCCTAGAGTTGGTAACAGAAGATTTGCAGAAGTATATAATGAGGTAATAAAAAATTTTCTCTTCAGTTTCCTTTGTCTAAGTGATAGGGATTTTTTTTTTTTTTTGTGATGGAATATTGATCAATAGCCACTTTTCTAGATCTATATATTCTTGTTGAATTCTTTTCTTGCATAAAGCATGTTTTTAGTTGTAGGCCAAGCAACAGCAGGTAAATTTCTTGCCATAGTTTAATTATCAAGATTTGTGTCATTTAGGTTTTGCTTAGTAGGATGGGTAGCAAAATGAAAAGATGGAAAATTAGAGTAGTAGAAAATTGAAAAAAAGGAAAACATATTTTCTCTTTCATTGGTGTGCTTGGTAGGAAAGATGAAAAAGTTGAAAGAAAATGTAATTTTCTTTCCATCCATTGCTTGGTAGAGTTGAAAAATGAAAAGAAAGAAAATGAAATTTATATAATTTTACCATTATATCCTTTGTAGGTTAATAGAAAAAGGTGAAATTAAAAAAATGGACATTCTTGTAAATAGGCACACTTTACTAACACCTCTTATCATTTTCTCTCTTCCCATCTTTCCAATTTGAAATGATTTATTTATATTAATGATGGAAAATGCTCATCTTTCCTATTATCTTTTCTCTTTCTTCTCTCCTACCAAGCACTTATGAAAATCATTTTCTTTCCAGTTTTCTACCCACCCCTCTTCATCCTTCCACTTTTCCACCCTACCAAGCACACCCTAGAGGACATTTAGGATTAATGCGTAGTTGATTAGATTACCAGTTACCATGTCTTTTCCCCCCTTCCTTTTACCACCTCTAAAATAATGCATGGTTGTTCTAAAAGTTTTCTCATTGGCTAATATGTTGTTTCCAGTGACACATTTATGAGATGGCCTGAGTTATTCACATAGTAATTTACTGACAAACTAGCTTAAGCTCATGTTTATTTACTGATAAACCAGCAGCAGATTTATATTGCTGATAAACATTAGGATCAGCTGTTTTATAAGAGAGCACGTAACTCTTCTTCTGCAATGCTATATCTAATATCTATGGTTTTAATTCATCTTTTGTGCTTTTCCTCTTTGTATCTCTTTTTTCTATACCATTTTCATTTGCATCATGAATACCTTTTCTTATGATTGTTTCCTCTTGACACTTATCGTATTTCAGGTTTTGATTATTGAAGTCAGAAAAGTGATTCAATCCCATTATATCATCTCCTTTTCTTTTTGTTTATTAAAGATTTTTCCCAAAAGACTTGTTTTAAACATTTCTTTGCAGATAATTATAGGCTCATGAAAAACTTGGCACTATCATTTTTGTGCTTGAATTTAAATTATTGCTTCCTGATACATAAGAAATGCACTTAGGGAGGTTTCTATTATCAAATATCAATCTGCTTGTATTGTCATGCTGTTTTACATCTATATCTTATCTAGGAAGTGTGACACATCATTGGTTAAGGTTTTTGCAATTGAATACTAACATTTGCAGAAAGTTAAAGATAGCTGGAGAATTGTTAACCACAGAGACATTATACCAACTGTTCCCCATTTGATGGGTTATTGCCATGTGGCTCAGCCTGTTTATCTTGCTGCTGGAGAATTAAGAGATGCTTTGGTGAGTCTTTTATTTTATTTTATTTTGTACTCTATTTGTGGCATAAAGTCATAATATTCATATGTTGGTTGCTATTCACAAATTTTATGGACAGGACAAATGACACGGGAACTGAATTTGCGACATGTTATAATAATTTTGACGTCAATTATTTATGTTTGTTGATTAGACTTGGTATTTTAGCTACTTTCATGAGAAATTTCACTTTTGGGTGACTTAAGTGATCTTGATTGTTGGATTGCCTTGCTCTCGCTAATTTTGTTTTCAAAATTAGCTCACATTTATCTATTATTCTGTAAACAAATCAAGCAATCAGAAAATCTGTCATATCTGAATATGTTTTGAAGCAGACATCCATAATGTGTCATCTGTTAAGAATTCTTAAATTAGCTGGATCAAACTCCTTATATATATATTGTTTGAGAAAATGTAATTTCTATTGGCAGCTATATTACATCTTCATAGTTAGATGCTTTTTGCATTCATAAGTAGCTGGACCCAGCCAAATTCCACTTTTGAAGTTTTTCTTTTTTCTGTTCAATTGACTTGGGGTGCACCCTTTTAATCAATTACATTAAATATTCCTTGTATTCTTGGTGTTCAGCTCCAGAAATTCTTTTAACAAGATTGATGCTCTTACATATATGGAATACTGTGCTTATTATCCTTTTATTGTGAATAATTGTTCATCTCTCATGTTATTTAATGCATGCATTGGGTTATAAGTTTAACATACGATTCTTTTCAGGAAAACATGGAGCTTTTTGAAGATGGTTATCAGGGTGATGTGATAGGGGAGTACACACCAGATGTTCTTGTCACTGAATTTGTAAGTTTCTTGTTGTCAATCTTTTGCCTTACACCTTTTTCAACTTATTAAAAGGGTTGTGAATATCTGCAAGATTAAAAATTGATATTTTCACACCACACATACTATTCTAGGTTATCTTAGTCTGATTTCTTTTGCATGTGTTTCAAGGCCTTGTCCGGGAAGATTTCATTTTCTTAGTAATTTGATTTGATATGACATTTACTGCATAGAGTGGTGTGTCTTTTTGCTACTACAGATGAAAGGAGAAAGGGAGCTCATTGAACAGATATTGCAAACTGAAATCAATATATTTCGTGCAATACGCGATGGAAGTGCGCTTATGCAGCACATGGAGGATTTCTACTACATCACACTGCTAGAGGTACACACGTCATAGTTGAATAAATCAGTATTTCATTTAATTTGTTTTTATCTTCCTCCCAGAACCTTTTGACTGGGAGCTAATGCGGCAGCAAGTTAAAGTTGCTCCACGAAGAACTTCATGATTATCAAATTGAAAAGGCCCTTGGGCTTCACCTGAATCCTAACGGCCCGTGAACTTGTTCGAATATTATGTAACGCCGCAAAATGTTGACTGTCCACCGCCTTCTATTGGTTTCTTCAGAGTGTGAGATCGAATTATCAAATGGTTGCAAGCTCAAGTAAAAATGAACAAGGAAGCATGTCAACCAGCTAAGAAGTAAACAGCATCCCTTGGCTGAGGAGGCAAGCTGATATAGGTATTTTATAACAACCATTCTCAGAATGTGACAGCAGACTGCAGGGACATGTACAGGTTTTCCCCCCTTCAAATTATATTATCTTGTGCACAAACTTTCATAGGGCTAGAATATAAGTTGTCTAAAATTTCAAAATCCAGATTTTCTTTTCTTTCATATGGTGGTAATTATGAGTTAATGTTTTTTTTCCATTCCTGCAAAGTGTTCTATACTTGCACGAAATGAAATATCATCAGATTACATAATTCTTTGTTTACCGTACCACTATCAAGGGAATTAGGAATGGACAGAGGATTGAAATAGCAAATACGAAATCAAATATGAAATATATTACTCGTTGATATTCCTCCTTAAGGGCCGTTCCAAGTCTTGAAGAAAAACGGATGACATGTTTAGATTTTCGAATATAAAAAATTCTCTTCAACGAGCTCCTTTTCTTTTTTAAAAATATTGTTATCTAAAAGATTAATTTTGCTCTTAGATACTTAAATTTTCATTCATCATATATTTTGGTTTTTCATGTTAATGCAAAAAGTCAAGTCACTGACATGATATAAATATTCAATTAAATGATGATATATATCAAAAACATTCAGTTATGATCAAATCATAATTGCCATGTAACGTTGAAAGAAATTTTCCAATTATCTAAAAAGTTGGGAAAAAATTTTAAATATTTAAAAAAATCCAAAATATTTATAATATTTTTCTCAAGAATTATAAATTCAAAAAAAATAAAAACTTTAAAAAATCCAAAAATTTTAAAAATTATAAAACCTAAAAATTTTTAAAATTAAAAAAAAAACCCAAAAAACGAAAAAATTGAAAATTGAAAATTCCAAAAAATCTAAACAATTCAGAAAAAAATTCTCAAAACTAAAAAATTTAAAAAATTGAATTTCAAAAATAGAAAAAATTTCAAAAACTTTTCCAAAAATTAAAAAAATGAAAATTTTTTAAAAATTCAACACAAGTAAAAAAATATGAAAATTGAAAAATCAAAAATTAAAATAAAAAGAAAAAATTTTTAAATTTTAAAAATCCAAAGAGTTAAAAATCAATCTAAAAAATTTTAAAAATCTTTTAAATTATTAAAAAAATCCTAAAAATTAAAAAAAAAATAAGAAAATTAATAACATCCCAATAAAATTAAAAAAATCTAAAAATTTTTAAAATGTTCTAAAAATTCAAAAATACGGAAATTTATTTTAAAATTTCCAAAAAAAAAGAGAAAATATGAAATATTGGAAGAATTTTAAAATTTTGAAAATTTGAAAACAATAAAAAAATTAATATATAAAAATGAAAAGCAAAGTTTGGTCATGTGCAATTTTTTTTTTCAGTTTTTTAGTTTTTAAAATTTGTTTTATTTTTAAATTTTCATTTTTTTTTCATTTTGTCAAAATTTTTTGAAATTTTTAAAAATTTTCTGTTTTGTTGAAGTTTCTGGGAATCTTTCAGATTTTTAAAAATTTTTATGATTGTTTTTTTATTTTTCAAAAAATTTTCCTTTATTGGAATTTGTTTTATAAAAATATTCAGGTTTTGAGAAATCCTTGGGACTTTTTATTTAAAAATTTTTGAAAAAATTTTGGATTTGTTTTTAATTTTTACAAAATTTTTATGGTTTAAAATATTTCCGATTTTTTTTTTACTTTTATAGGAATTTTGGAATTCTTTTTGAATGTTTTACTATTTTTAACTTTTTAGTTTTTTTTTTTTGAAATTTTTTATTTTCAGAATTTATTTTTGATTTTTTCAAATTTTTTTAATATTTCAAAATTTTTTCTTTTTTAATTTTTGGAATTTTAAAAAGTTTTTGAATGTTTTGGAAAAATTTTTATTTTTTTAGATTTTTTTGTGATTTTAGGATTTTTTTAATGTTTCAAAATTTTTTTGAAGTTTTATTAATTTTTCAAAAAATTGTTTTGAATTTTTCAATTTTTTTAATTTAAATTTTTTTATGAATTTTTAAAAATTTTCTAGATTTATTTTGAATTTTTCTTCTAATATTGAAGTGTCAACAATGATCGACGATGATTGATTGGACATTTTCTACATATGTTATTAATTTATTGGGTATTGATACTACGTCATCACCTTGACCAACAACATTAATTAACACGTCAGCAACTAAATTAATAGCATTAGTCCGAATATATTTTTATGAAATCAACTTAATTAATTATATTTAATAATATATTTTTATACTTTTTTTTATCATCACAGTTAGAATTGTTAAAATTCTTTTCAAGCATAAAACATTTTAAACTCATTTTACATCTAATTATATAAATTTCATGATTATTTTCATCTTTTTAGGTTAACAAATTTTTTACTTAAAATCTTTTAATTTAAAAATATCAATTTGTTTATATTATCAAGTTAATTATTTACTTTAATTTTTTGTTACGCTTATTCTTATTTTTTGTTTCATTTTAAAATTATCATAACTCTTTTTTAAGGTATATTATGACGTCAAATGATATCAATTTTACGATTATTTTTATTTTTCGTTAACATTTATTTTTTATTTGAAATTACTTTTTATTTATAATAATAACTTTTTACGTTACCAATTTAATTATTTATATTATAATAATATGTTTTTACACTTGTTTTTATCTTTTATTATATTTAAAATTATCACAACTTTTTTCATAAGGTATTGTAATACTTCTAATATATTTTATATCAAATGATACAAATTTTAAAATTATTGTCATATTATTACGTAAACACTTTTGATTGAATTATTATTTTTATTTATAACAATAATTTTTTTATATTGTCAACTTAATTATTTCATTAAAATAATTTTTTTATACTTGTTCTTATATTTCATTTCGTTTAGAATTATTGTAACTCTTGCTTTGGTTGTTACAATAGTTCAACCTATTTTACACTAAAGGATCTTAATTTTATGATTATTTTCACCTTTTTACATTATGATCCTTTTAACACATTTTACATTAAATTATATTAATTTTATAATTATTCTCATCTTTTTACATTAACACTTATTTTTCGGTTTAAAATTATTTTTACTTATAATAATATTTTTTATACTGTCAATTTAATTATTTATGTTACAATAAAAATTTTTATGCTTGTTTTTACATTTTATTATATTTAAAATTATTAAAATTTGTTTTAAAGTATTATGACACTTCAAATATATTTCACACTAAATTATACCATTTTTACGATTGTTTTCATCTTTTTATTTTAACACTTATTTTTTGATTTAGAATTAATTTTATTTATAATACTAAGTTTTTTACGTTACAAATTTATTATGTTTTAATAATATCTTTTTACAATTTTTGTTACTTTTCATTATGTTTAAAATTATTACAATTTTTTTATTAAGATGTAATGATACTTCTAACTATTTTACGTAAAATAATATTAATTTTATAATTATTCTCACTGTTTTATGTTAATTCTTATTTTTTGTTTAAAATTATTTTTTATTTGTAAAAATAATTTTTTTACATTACCAACTTAATTATTTATCTGATAATAATATTTTCTTACGCTAGTTATTACCTTTCATTATATTTAAAATTATCATAACTTTTTTCTTAAAAGTGTCATAATACTTCTAACCATTTTATATCAAATGATATTAATTTTACGATTACTCTTACATTTTTTATATTAACACTTATTTTTGGTTTAGAATTATTAATTATTTGTAATAGTAATTATTTTATGTTGCTAAAATATTATTTATGTTACAATAATATTTTTTTATACTTGTTCCTAGGGGTGTAATTAATCGAGTTTGAATCAATACAATATTAAGCTTGAGCTCAACTTGAAATTCGAAATCGTAACTCAGCTTGAACCTAATCAAGTTTTTTTTAGCTCGAGCTAAACTTGAGATAGAAATCAAGCTACTTGAGCTCATTCGATTATGCTCGATTAATATGAAACAAGAAGCTCAATTCTTAAATTTGACAAAAACTCAATTATTTGTGCTTGAGTTTGAACTCGAGTTTAAGATATTTTATTAATTAAAATAATTAAAATATATTAAAATATAAAATCTTAATTAAACTCATGAATTACTCAAGCTGGGTATAAGAATGGTCGAACTCAACCCAATCAATAAGTTGAGCTACTTGAGCTCAAGCTCGACTCGATAATAATCGAGTTAGATTCGAGTTTTATTCAAGTTGAAACCTAGTAGCTTACAAATACTAATGTATCATTTGAACCCCTACTTGTTTCTACCTTTTTTTACATTTAAGATTATCATAACTTTTGTTAAGGTATTAAAACACTTCTAATCTAATTTACGCCAAATGACACTAAGTTTATAATTATTCTTATCTTTTTACACTAACATATTTTACACTAAATAATTTTTATTTTTTAATTATTCTCACATTTTTACATTTAGTACGTATTTTTTTGTTTAAAATTATTTTTTATTTATAGTAATACTTTTTTTATATTGTCAACTTATATTTATATTACAATAAAATCTTTTATGATTGTTCTTATCTTTTATTATGTTTAGAATTATCATAAGTTTTTCTTAAGGTATTACGACATTTCTAATATATTTTACATCAAATGATACCAATTTTACAATTATTTTCACTTTTTTGTGTTAACACTTACTTTTTGATTAAATTAATTTTTTATTTATAATATTAATTTTTTTATGTTACCAATTTATCATGTTTTGATAATATTTTTTTTTACGTTTGTTATTACTTTTCATTATGTTTAAAATTATTAAATTTTTTTCTTAAAACGTAACGATAGTTCTAACTATTTTATGTTAAATAATACTGATTTTATGATTATTCTCTTTGCTTTACGTTAACTCTTAACTTTTTATTTAAAATTATTTTTTATTTGTAATAATTGTTTTTTTATATTGTCAACTTAATTATTTAAGTTCTAATAATATCTTTTTCTATTTGTTGTTACCTTTCATTACGTTTAAAAGTATTACAACATTTTTCTTAGAAGTATTACGATACTTCTATCCATTTTATGCTAAATAATACCAATTTTTAGGTTACTTTCACCTTTTTCATATAATAACACTTATTTTTTTATTGAAAATTATTAATTATTTGTAATAATAATTCTTTTATGTTGCCAAAAATATTATATATGTTACAATAATTTTTTTTACACTCATTTTTACTTTTTATTACGTTAAATTTACCACAACTCTTTATTAATGTGTTACAACAATTCTAATTCAATTTATGTTAAGTGACACCAATTTTACAATCATTCTTACCTTTTTATATTACGACACTTTTAACATACTTTACACCAAATGATTTTAATTTTATAGTTACTTTTACTTTTTTACGTTAACACTTTTTTATATCTAGAATTATTTTTTATTTATAATAATAATTTTTTTATGTTGTCAACTTAATTATTTACATT